CATTTTGGTTATAGTTCATAGAGGGCGCCAGCTGCCGTAGATTGAAGGTGTTGGAAACGACATAACTTTTTTGTACTTAAAGGTACGAGTATCTCATCTTTGGTATCAAATTCTTATTTTCAACTTTTTTTACACAAAAAAGGTAGACTTTATGAAAGTAGTTGTCCCGCACCGTTTCCGAGATATTTTGCTTTGAAACTTCCAATGCTAATAGTTGAAATAATTAAAATAATTTAGAAATATCAAAAACAAGGGTTTATTTAGAATTAAAAATTGAGTAAAATAGTAAACATTAGTAAAAAATATGCCTTTTTGACAATAATTGCTCAAAATGTCCATCTCTAGCTTCTATACGTTTATCAACACGTTTATTAAAAGATTGTCTTATTTTAAAGTATAAATCCTTTATGCGAAATGACTTAGCAACATTTAAAACCTGCTACTAAAGTTCTTCTCAAGTGTTTATACTTTCTCCATAAACAACTGATTTCATGTAACTCCAAATACGAAAACATCGGCATTCTATCTCACATTTACGTATACGAGTATACAATTTAATTTGTAAGCTAAGATGTAATTTTAATTAGATACTTAATATAAATTAGCATACAAATGACAGTAATAAGACAAGTGGAAGTCGTCAATTATTTGATTTTCGTCCAAATCCTACTTAAGAAACTTTACCGCTAAATTAATAATACCTGTAGGTACTTAATTGTAATTTAATGTAACAACATTGGAAGTTTCAAAGCCAAATATCTCGAAAACGGTGCGAGATAGCTACTTTAATAAAGTATACTTTTTTGTGTAAAAAAAGTTGAAAAATAAGAATTTGATACCAAAGATGAAATACCTTAAAGTACAAAAAAGTTATGACGTTTTTAACACATTCAATCTACTGCAGCTAGCACCCTCTATGAACTTTAACCAAAATGTGAACAAATTTCAATTTCTCTACTTAAAGAACCTCAAACCCCAAAATTTTGTGTAGATATTTGCATTTATTAACAAATGAATGGAAATAAACTAAAATAATATTTTACATTTAAGACCTTGTATCACTAACTATCAACTTTTGGACAAGGTAAGTTCGGCTAAATCGCAGTAAAATGACCTGAAAAGTTGTCCAAAGTTAGTTAAATCCATCGATTTATATTAATTTGAATTACCTTTTTCAGCAGAAATCTATTATCAGGTGTTTCTTGTAAAAATCTCCCAATTTCCTTGTTCGTTAGAATTCTGAACTTTTCCCGACGGTATTAAACTTATTTGCTTTTCAAATATGGTATTAGTTTTCTTATATTTACATTTTCTTTGGCATTCAGTGTACTTTTTAACATGGAATATACTGATCATGACGTCGAAGATTTAATTTTATTAATTTTATGTACGAAATATGCCAGTAATATCGCTTCCGAACTTTTTGTATTTTCTTCGAACTACACCACCCTTTGAATTCGTGGTAAATGCTCGTCTTCACTTTCCGAGCTCATTTTGAATCAAACACTCTTAGAATATGAATTACAATATATAATTTTCACAATACCTTTTCAAACAACTATTTTTTTTTATTGTTTATTAGGTTCCTATCGTTATGATAGTCACCGCGCCCAAACCACCTTGATTCAAACTTAGTTCAAACGATCTCAAATATAAATTAAATTGTTGTAAATAACACAATTGTCTTATTTTATTGCAGTTTTCGAAAAAATATTGTTTGCATCTCACAATCAAACGCTTTAGCGTTCTCAAATGGATATTTTGCAAAATAACTCCCATTCTTGAACGCAAAAGTACCATTTCGCGTTCTACATCCAATAAATAATTATTCTGTACTTTTAATACTTATTTTTGTTAACCGTGGATATAGATAACCCAATATTCTATAAAGTTATAGTATGGTTTATTGAAAATCGTTTCTGGACGTTGGTAAAACTAATTATGATGTTTATGAGACTCAGTTTTTTTAAATAACTATTTGAACTAATATTGGTGTGTCTTTACAGAGCAATGACACCGCATATGAAAGCTGTTTTTCCGTGTCTCTTATCCAACGTACCTTACAATGCAAAATGAACGTTTTTAAGAAGTGCAACCATGCAGAAAAGTGACTGATATTGAATATAATGGTTGGATATACTCCGTTGCATTTGTAGGGTCTCACCAACATCTGATAATAACGGTTGAATTTATATTTGATTTTAGGTTGCATTTTTCGGCCAGTTAGTTCGAAGTAGTAACTTGTGCTAGAATATTAAAAACTAGCATTTAAATAAAATAGGAAACAGCAAACATTGCCAGCAAGATAAACAATGTTAAAGTAAAAAAAAGTGTTATTGTTTTATTAAATTTAAACAGAACAATTATTCTATAATTTTTTTTCACAGCACTTCATAAGGAATATTAAAATTATTTTACTGAAAACATTACCGAGTATTGATAAAGAAAAACTGGAATGACGGAAACGTCATTAAGAATTTTGTTGTGTTAAAATTAAGCGGATAATTTATTACAATGATCTTTTTCAGAGAATATCATGTTTATATAATTTACCTACAAAGAGTAATGATGTAAATTGTGTTATTGAAAACAATTCCGGGCAAAAAATAAGTCGTGGGAAAATAGATTTAATTGTTGTCAGTGTTCTCTCATAACAGTATTATCAAAAATATGACTGAAAATAAAAAGACTTGATATATTAAAAATAGTATATTACGTAATAAGTGTTGTAAAAAGCATTTTACGCACGAATGGAAAAGTTACGTAATTCTATGAGTGCGTAATTGCATTACACCACGTATTACGTACTATACTTTACCTACGACCACTACTTTAAATTCTTAAAAACACACCGTCTGCGATCAATGCAAGATTCCTATTACGTCGTACGGCCGAAAAAAGAGAATATTTAGGCTGGAAAAAGTAGCAAATCGCATATTGGGACCTTTTTTCTTTGAAGGTAATTTGACAGGCGGCGACATTTATTTGCATTTTTGGATTTTTCAGCGGATTCCAGCCCTGGAATTAATTTTTCCTAAGCCGAATGAGCACGATATGCCTGCTGGTGATGTCTGGTTCCAACAAGGTGGTGCCCCTCCACATTTTCGCCTCGATGTAAGGAATTACCTTAATGAAGTTTTCCCATATCGATAGATAGGCAGAAGAGGACCGCTTGAATGGCCACCACGCTCCCCTGACTTAACCCCACTAGATTTTTTTTTGTGGGATTATATGAGAAGCAAAATGTATGTGAACAGACCATACTCTATCGAAGGATTGAAAAATCGCATCAGAGAAGAAGTTCGAAACATAACACTAAATGTTATTCAAAATGTAATTGATAACTTTCAACATCGAATTGGCCATTGCGATATGGTTAATGGGGGCCATTGAACATTTGCTGTAATAAAATAAAAAGTAGTACCTACTAAATTATTGTTTTCATTAAATTATGAATTTTGTTCCATCATTTTGGGGCACAGTGTATATTTCACGTTGTAATCTTCTAATTAAGGGAACTGGTATCTCCACATACTTTCTGCAAATTGTTTTTGCACCTGACTATTAAGAAATTGTAAACAGTACACTACAATAATACGTTGACGTTTTATCTGGCATCCAAGTTATCTAACGCTTGAAAAATAAAGTGAATAAGCGATATATGGTATTACGTTACTAGTAACTTTAAATAGTTGTAACCATGAAAATAAATCATAGACAAAACAAACGACATGGGAATTGATATGTTTGTTTGCATTGGGTTTTATCATATTCTGTACCAAATCTCCAAATATTTGTATGAATTTATTTTTTGTGCAGCTATTCGTACAGTGTGATCGATATATCTTGGGATGTGCATTATTCTTTGAGGACGACTGGATATAATTAAATGCTTACAAAAGGAAAGTAATTAACAATACTCAAAAACAGTTGAACATATAACAAAACGCTGAATATAAAAATTTATTACAACTAAACATTCGTTTTGGCATCATTAAAAATAGGGGCATGTTCCGAGAAAAAAATTGTCAAAGCTCCAAAAGTTATTTTACAGAAAATTTCCCGTAAAATATCGATCACCCTGTACATATACTTTTAAAATAGAATAAAAAAGACCGTGCATAATGAAATACCTTTTTTTAAACAAATACGTACTAAAAATAATTCTATAATTTAAATAAAAAATAATGCCAATTTCTTTTTAGTAAGTCTGATATTGCTTTTTATGAATTATTTCACCGTAAAACGTACACATTTAAACGTAAAAAGAAATAATTTTTAGATACAGACAGAAAAAATATTTATTTGTGGGATTTTCTAAAACAAAAAAAAAATATTTAAAAAAGAGACAAGATGTCTCAGTTGACTCGTTTGGCACGTCACTGAATTGCCGCTCACTCTAACAGCCTAAACATGACCTACAAGGGGTCAGTCTAAGAAAATTTTTACGTAGTGTCAGTGGAAAATATTTGGAATTTGAGTCTTTTGGGAAAAACAGGAAATTTCAAACTATGCAATTTTTTATAGATGCAAAAATGGTAAGCCAACCTTCAGATTGCATATCCGCTGATTCATCATCGTGATGTCCACGAGGGCTTAAAAAAGTTTTTAACTCGGAGAGTAAAGCAGTTGACATGGAAGTTACTCAAGGATCTGCTTTGGGTCCGATACTGTTTATTTTATACAACAACGAGTCGGATGCTGTAATACGTTTCTTACTATGTGCGCTGATATCAATCAGTTATTATCTCAGCCAAATCGGATAATCCCGTAGAATATAAATGCAATAAATTGATAGAAATTTTAAATAACTGGTACGCTTTTAACAAGAAACATTGTAATGTAGACAAAACTTGTCAGTATATAAGAGAAACCGCCGTCCTTTAATTTCTTTTGGTCGCAAAGATATATACTGTCGATACAATTGGAGAGCGATGCATTTCGTTTTCTTCCACAGTAGTAAAAGATTTTGGTACAGTTTTTGTATCGTTAATTTTTACTGCAACAATGATTCCCTTGTCATCTATATCATCTATGGAGAGCTTTATCAAATCATCTCTTCTTAATCCTCCAAAAGCACCCATTACTACAATACAATACAATAACAAATATCTATTAAGCACATGCAATAATATAGCCAATTATTTCCTATATTATCTTTTCCAAAAGATATGTATGACTTGATGCTTCACTAATAAATTTCAAAATATCCTCTTTTGCCAATATTTTAGATTTTTTCTGGAATATATTCTTTCGATATTTGCTTCAAATAAGCTTCTCCTATATTTATTTTTCTGCGCACTAATAATGTGGTCTTCAACATTGAATACTTTGTTCACAATGTGTTAGGACTGAATAATTCTGACTAAAAGATCATTCCACGCCAAATCGACCAACCTGACCCTTTTCGATTTGGCTAAAACTTTTTTATTCTTTTCTACCCCATTGAAAACCACTGAGAAAATTTTTTTTCCATGCAGCGATTGAAGACAATTTCAGTCAAAAGAAGATGGTTTCAAAATGATTTATTTGAGTTTAAATGCGTTGCATGTCTTTTTTAGAGTCCACTGTTCGTCCAAATATGGACCAAATAACAACTTTTTTTTTCATTTTTTTTTGTTTTTCGAAAAAAAATACAAAAAATTATTCAAAACGATCTTCTATTTTTTTCTTACCTTTCTAAAAAGAAAAAAATCGAAATTTTATTCATGTTTACCACTTTCAATTATTTCTTTCATATATTTTTTTTCAATTATGTGATTGTATATACATTTTCAAAAATTTTCAAAATGGTATGTGAAATAAGCTAATTTTTTTTCAAACAATAAAAAAAATAGGAAATGAAAATACACCACTGAAAAATTTGGAGATTTATAAAAAAATAGTTTTTTATAAGAAAAAAAAATTCAAAAATGGTAATCATCGAGAAATTTTCGTTTTTTTTCGAAAATTGAAAAAAAAGATAATTTTGATTTATTTTTTTTCAAAAAGTACATTTAGGAACAAAAATTTAAAAAAAAAAACGTCCTGATAACTCAATTTTTAATAAAGTTATGGTTATTAAAAAAAAAGTTTTTTTAAAAATTATAATAATTTCTTTAGTGATAAAAGGTAATACAACCAGTTCTTGGAAATGTCCCACAGCTGTCACTAAATTTCTGCTTGTCCAAGTCTCAAAACGTTTATATTCTTTATCATAAAATAATTTATATTTCTTAATAATTCTTCACTGGCTTTATTGGCTCTAGCAGCAACTATTCTGCCTTTTCAATATGTCTCTTCAGAATCAAATATCAAACTATCAAAATCAACAAAGCGGGTGTCATCTTGGACACATCGTTTATATATTGAAAAACTGTTTTCATTCTCATTTACATTTAATTATTAAATTTAAAATGAGATGTCTAATTGTAAGTAAAAAATAAAACGTTGTATGCACCACGGGAGATATTAGAATAATTAGGCAACCTGTCGCCTGCGGTCATAATAATCATCCGTATATCTCCCTTGATACATAAATAACATTATCGTTTCGAGACAAGTGGCACAAAAAAACAAATGTCAATGTAAAATTGTTGTTTTTTGTTATTTGCCTGAATTATAAATATACATAATTCCGTATAAATCAACAATCTGTTTCAATGCACTTTGAATAACGTTGGTACCTTTTAACAAGGTCCTTAGAACCTATTTTTTTCTCTTTTCGAGTTTGCTCCAAGAGACCCCCAGACAAAATTCAACGTCTTAAAAAAACGCGGAACAAAGCATCAACGCGATTCGGCAAAACGTAAAATACAAATAGGCCCCAGTTTTTCCGTCCTCCGGCACGGTGCATTGTAGGTGAGGTGGGATTATTTATAAAGTGTGTCGAGTAAAGATAGCAAAACAGCTTGCTTCAGTTCGCATTTCGGTTTGTAGAGACGCGGTTGCTTTTTTACAGTCGGCGCTCAGACACGTGCGGTCTGGTGTTCGCGAAATTTTCGTATTTGTGACTTCAGTTCTATTTTGCCCATTTAGGGATTGATTTATTTCGTCACTGCACATCGTTAGCTGAGTAAGTTTATCATTTTGCATATAACCAATAAGGCATTTTATTGGATGCTTATGAAAAGTAAAAAGGAGTATTTTTTATTTTATTTAATTTATGTATAAATGCGCTTTTTAGTTAATTAAAACTGTTAATTCAAATTAATTCAATTTAGTACAGTATATTTTTTTTATATTCATATTACACCTCAACTATATACAGTGTGCCTCATTAAGAACCAAAACACCTCTCAAATTTTTTTTTTGACGTAAGATTTTAATAGTTTTATTTGTATACAGGGTGTCCTGGTACTCACGCGTTCTTTTTTCTTACAAACAATAATGGAATTCAATTCACCGAAAATTCAGTGTCGTTTTTTCTATTTTGTAGGTATTCTACCACTAGGTAAAGTGAAGGCGTGTACAATTTGAGACACCTTGTATATAATATGGCCTTCAGTGATTTTTTAGAAAGAATTTTTGGGAAAATCATCTTTTTTATAAGAACCTTGACACTTTAGGTAAAAAAGCGTGCAAATAAATTTATTTTTATAATTTTAGGCAGGACGTAAAATTTTAAGACTGTTATTGTTTGTCAATTATAATTAGAAGTGTCAGTAACTGGCTTTTTCATCTTGAGGCATTTTGATTTTTGCATTTTGCCTCTAGATTTTTAAATTGAAGCGACTACTTAAGTGTTCAAACTTTGCAATAAATGTTTTGTATTATAAATTAAAATTTGTAAATAAATAATTCTCAAAAATCGTTTCTACAAAAATTACAGCAAATCATAGATTGCCGAACCATCGTAATTGGTTTTTAATAAGTCACACTGTGTTTATTAACGATACGGATTTTTTTAAATGTTTCATTAAGTTACACTTTTAAAACGAACGAATTTTAAGTAATTAAGTTCATAAATATGTGTATTTAAATTTAATTATTGAGTGGCTCTAAACACTTAAGGGCCCCATATTCTTTAAATAGTGTTTTCCGCAAATTCAAATAATTTCAAACATTTAATAACTGAATAATCTAAAGCTTATCAAATAATAGGAATGTTATGTCATGCCATCTGGGTATTTTCAAAGACGCCGCAGTAAAACGAATAAACAGGTGCAAAAAACGATCAAACCATCAAGGTTTTAGGTACTGAAATCTACGAAAATACTAAATTCCACATGTAAATATTCTTATAACATTTACTTGCTTAGTCCTACATATAAAATTGTTTACTTTTATTTATAAGTACGTGAAAATAATTCTTAAAATGTGGGGTTAGAATAACAGCAAACGCATGTTTTACAAACGCTTTTTTTTAGTTATTATTTTATTTGAGTAAATTTAAATGGTAACAATGAATAAACAAAACATCAAGGATTTCATTTTTGTGCTTACTTTTGTTCTACACGTTTTACTTTTAAAGATTTCAGTACCTAAAAACGCCATAAATTTCACTATTTCTCGGCCGGGAATATGGCCACCTTAAGTCTCTTTAGTATAAAAATGCCCAACGAACCTTCTGAAGAGAATAAACAAATCAGAAGTATGATAAGGAAGTGTAGGTACCTAACGAATGTTACATAGTTCAAGGGTATCATATAGAATGGTGTCGCTTTAACCAAACTTGCTTAAACGAAATATGTCGAAAAAAAAGTTACAGGTTGCTAATGTTTCTTTTTTTATTTCTTGTTTTCTTCTTAACTCAGAGCCCAGTTAACCGATTTGAGCAAAATTTGCTTAGTTACTTTTAATGAAGTATACAGTGATTATGTTCCTATTAGGTTAAATCATACAGGGCGTTCATTTTAGTACAACCCTTTGTGAATATTCTTCTGTAACTTTTTTGTACGTTTAAAGTTTTACACGCAACTTATAAAAATAGGTAGAGAAACTAAGCAACAGCTAATTTTGCTCAAATCGGTTAACTGGGTTCTAAGTTAAGGAGAAAACAAGAAATAAAACAAGAAACTTTTAACACCCTGTAACTTTTTTACGACATTTCTCGTTTAAGCAAGTTTGGTTAAATCGACACCATTTGGGTTCTAGATTATACCCTTGAAGGTGACACCGTATTTGAACTATATACATTTTTAATTTGGCAAAACTTGTATAGTTGTTTTCATAATATAAAGCATTTTATTAATCAAATTACACAGACCAACAAAATTTAACTTTTTTTTGGAAGCAGAAATTTGAATATATTTTTCCGAAACATTTAGGTGTGCTGAATCCGAATCTGGCCGCAGAATGCTCTATCACGTCAGGTTTTTGAGATATCCTAACCTAAAAGTGCAAAAAACACTGTTTTTCGTCATATTTGAGGTTACGTAGTAATGCCATCTATTCTTTTTCAAAAAACTAATACATTGAATCTAAAAGTACAAAACTCCCTCCCTCGAATGCCGTTGAGATTGCTCAAATATTTTCTTTTTTTCGTTGAGATATCACGTGTTGAAATTTTTAAGTTTCTCAGTTTCTTAATATGCGAAAATCTACTAATTGTCCCTTCGACGTCAAACAGTTGATTGCAGTTCAGAAACTTCATACAAGATATTTGAGCAAACTCAACGGCATTCGAAAGAGGGAGCCTTGTACTTTTAAATTATACGTATTTTTTTTTAAAGAATATATGGCATTACTACATAACCTCAAATATGACGAAAAACAGCTTTTTTTGCACTTTTAGGTTAGGATATCTTAAAAAAAATGACGTGATAGAGCAATTCTGCAGCCAGATTCGGATTCAGCGCACCAAAATCCTTCGGGAATGTATATTGGTGTGTCTGCTTCTTGGCCCTTGTTGACCTGTGTTATTACTACTTACAAGTTTATATACTTTTTTGTTAATAATATTTAAATTCATATACAGAAGGTTTAGAAATACTGCAACAAAATTTGGGGACTGAAAATAGATATTCGTGAAAATGACATTTGACGGAAGTCACATATTTTTTGTGACATTTAGGCCCGGTACTTTGAGTTTCGGTAAAGCTTGATTAACTGATCAGGCGATTAGATTGCACATATACTGATTTATTTTATAAAGTATAATCAC